CTCGCTGGCGCAGTGCCAAGCAGCGCTAGAGGCCGCTCCCAAGATAGCATTAGCAGAGAAACGATGGCGTCTCTCTCTTAAACGCGGCCAAACCGAGTCCTGCCGGGACTGGGGTGGGAGCTGGCTCTGAAGTGGGGAAGTTAGGGGGAGGGGTTGCTGGACGAGGAGGTGTTGTGAGGGGGACCGGGAAGGCGACATTTTGAGAGATGGGAGGCTTTTGGCACGCGGTCACCGCTGGGAGGGGAGCATTTCGTGGCACTCAAGTTTCGGGGACTGCCTGCTAGCTGTTGTGCGCTTTTGGTAAAAATTCCGAACAGTTCGCGAGCCGCTGCTGCCGATCTTTTTTGTCATTGTGTTTCAGTGTGTTTGCCACCTGCATTTTTTCAGGCCCAGTGGACGCATCCGTCGTGAAATGGCTGTCAAAAAGCAGGTCTGTTCATTTCACTTGTTGTTGCTGCGCGGCCGGCCATTTCGCATTCTGAGTTTTAAACGAGAACCTCAACGGCACAAGAGTCCTGCCTGCTGCTCTGCAACGGTGTACTGGCCGCTCCACCTGGGGCTCTCCCCTTTCGCACCCCATCGCCTGCCAGCTTCATCACAAACAAAGATCCTTTAGGTTTGATCTTCCAGTAGCTGCTCCCCCCCCTGCACAATTTTCGTTATGTTGTGGGTTATGCATCTTTGAGTGACGCCCGGTGGGTGCCCCGAAGAGTTCTTAGTGATAAAAGTGAGGCCCTTTCCTTCGGTTTGTTTGTTGCCTGCGCAGGGAAGTGGATTTGTTCGCGAGAGATGCCCTCTGCTTGCACTGGCTGCTGGGTGAGGAATACTGGCAGTGCTTTTTGCACGGGATGGGTGGCAGAAGTGTGGCACGCACCGTGCCTCATTCACTGCCATATGGGTGGATAATTGCAGAAGAAATCGACGGAGAACATCAATGCGCGGCTGGCGATGGTGATGAAGAGCGGGAAGTACTGTCTCGGATACAAGCAGGCACTGAAAACGCTGCGTGCTGGCAAAGCCAAATTGGTTATCATCGCCAACAACACACCACCACTCAGGTTGCTTCTCCTTCCTCTATCTCTCTTGTTATGGCCTACGTAGAAGAGGTGAGGAGGGACAGGAAATCGTCCTCGTAGAGGCAAAAAAAAAATTTCCACTTTTGCTGGTAACGATGACGGAGCAACGAATCCTTTGGATTGAGGAGGAAAATGCAGCGGTAAAGAGAGCAAACTGTGTGCCGTCTTGGTGGCTTGAGTGTTGGAAAATATTTCTTTCCAAAGGAAAATTTCCATTCTTTTCCTACGTTTGGCGAACCCCTAAGTAAGGATGCTGAGTGTTTTGACCAGCGAGGTCCCGGTTCGTTGCTTTTCGCGCAAATTACCGCCGTTATTAGAC